ATATATATACTCGTTATTGTATGGAGGTTCCCTCGAACGATCACACCAAGATATAAGACAACCAACAACCACCGACCATGTTATTTATGCTGGAAAAGAGGAGAGGGCAGCCTTTCTACCCTGTTTGGGTCGGGCATTTATTAGAGGTACAAACGTCCTGAATATTTGAAACTGTTGTAAAAGCGAAAGTGCTGTAAAACTGACAGACGCTCTTCTCTGTCTATCTCAGGCCAAGCTGGACGGCACAATCAACCCACCTTCCCGGGTCGTGCACATCCGGAGCCTGCCCGGTGAGGCTGGGGAGACGGACATTGTGCAGCTGGGCATGTCCTTTGGCAAGATGACAAACGTCCTGGTCTTGAAGCAGAAGAACCAGGTACATCTTTGTTGCATGCATTCATTTTGTGAATTCATTAATTAACTTAACGTTTTCATCATGCCTTGGCATTCTCCAGATGCCCGTGTAAATGATAATGTGTTTTTATCGCACTTTGCGAGGCGTGTGTATTTTGTACCGTTGAAGGCCCAGCCTATAGTGAAAAATAGAACGCCCAATTTGCCTTAATTCCCGGTTTGACAATAGCTTTATTTCATCCACCCTCCAAATTGTTGTGGAAGTTACATTTTGATACTGATAACCTTACATACTGCAGCGCCGCCAACTTATTCTTGCATTTGGGATTACATATAAGGGGATAGGGGATGGGGGATAGGAGATGGGGGATAGGGTGGGTAGAGGGCCGCTTTCACATGTAGTTTATGTCTTCGCAGCCATCTTCGGTTTATTTCCACCTTTCACTTAAATCAGACAGAGAGTCAGAGAGTGAGAGAGGGAGACAGAGAGACAGAGACGGAGAGCGACCAACCGACCGACCAAGCCGACCACACAGTTATTATGTCAACTATGGCGATGTGTAACGACAGTGTGTCATGGACGGCCATCACGGAGTTTGTGCTAGCGTTCAGCCACGGTTGACTGCACTAAGCGTCTCTGTCTCTGTCGCGGGAGAGCAGAGCCTCTCGTTGGCCTGGCCTGACCTGAACTTGTTCCCGCCTCGGACCCGTCTTGCAAGTCGGCTTAGTGAGCACCTTTTATGGCGCATTTCTTTTCCTCCATTTTACTTGATAGATTTTTCACGGCCAGTGGGCTTGGGTGAAGCTTAACGCC